TAGAAACACTGTCATTCAGTGGTGTCAGAGGGCAACCAATGGTTTCTTGTGCCAAATTGATCACTCTCTGTAGTGCCTTCCTGTCCGCAGCAGTTAAGCCAGCATACCATACTGTAATGCAGTATGTGAGGACACTTTCTATGGTGGACCAATAGAAAGAAGTCATCAGCCATTGTTCCATCTGATTTTTTTCGCAGGACTCTAAGGAAATGACGTCTCTGTTGGGCCTTTCCAATCACCAGAGACGTGTTGTTTTTCCAGGTGAGCTCTTGACTAATAAGCACTCGCAAGAATTTAAAAGAGGAAACCCTCTCCACACATAACATTACACTTAGCAATCACTTGGGACTCACTTAACAGATGCAGTTACAACTGTTGGAACTGCCATTATACGTCAGCCGAATCACATGCTGTCATGCTTTACAACTGTATTGTTTATAGAGTTCTGGAACTAGCTACCGTTATTAACCGAGGACTACCAGTATGTGGCTTGTAGTCCAAAATGTTTGGAAGATTTTAGTTTGGCGATGACTGTTGAGAGTAGACTACAGCAAAAAAGATCATAAAAATCAGGTTGATCATGTGTCTGACCCATTTTAGGGTTGTTATATGACATATGACCATAATGACGAGAGAGTCCATTACAGTTCTATGTCAAGAATTATTTGTAGATAGCTCTAGTGGAAAAAGGATTTTGACTTACACTGTCAAACTATGCAATTCAATCTTGTTTGTTCTGAGTAGAGGTAGCTCTCCAAGATCTTAATTAGAAGTCTTTTCTCCATGCTGCTGCCTGTGATTCTCATCAGTGCCAATACTAAGAATGGAGTTCACAAAATATATGGTTTCCATCACTATGCTCTTGCATTTTTCTTGATATTTATTGCCATAAAATACCCACTAATATGTGAACTAATCAGTACAAATCTCAAATTTGTCCTTCGTTTAATACGATCGTACTTTAATGAATCAAAACAAGTTGAACAGTTCTGTTACACAAGCACCGATGTCTGGCTCCTCATTGCTTAGTTGTCATCATTACAAAAAAATTCATCTTTGGTATTTTGACTGTTGATCTTGCTGCCTTATTATAAATCACCCAAAGATCTAGAAATAGCTTCCAATCTATTTTCTGGCTGCTACAAGTAAAAATTGGCAATAGTACTCCATCGTTATTTTTTTCTTTAGGATAAAATGAGAAATACAAGCCCAGCACTTGAACCATATACCAATAGTATAAAAATAAGACTTTGAAAAGAAAGCACCCAGTACTTACATATTGTGCAGTCCTGATGAATAGTATGAAAGTGTTGGACTAGGAGAACGAGTTTGATGCCGCACAGGTTTGGTCATCCGTGGAGGAATAGAAGGGCTAGTAGATGTTGGCTTTGAGTTGCGTGGTGGGACAGGAGGAGCATTCAGGAGTCTACATTCCTCTCTGACCTGAAATTATGCACAATTGTGATGTAGCACATCATGCAGGTAATTAATTATCCTGAAAACTAATAATATTAATAGGGATGAAACAAGGATAAATAAATCATTATTTATCTAAGGACCCTTAGAGTTTCTAAAGCAAAAGTGGAATATGAGAACTTGTAGCTCAATTTAAGACACCACATTCATTAATTTATAAAATTAATTTACAGTCCATTTCATATCCAACGACTCTGGGTGGTTTTCAATATGCAAACATTAAAAAAAACATTAAAATCATCCATTGTAAAAAACACAGCAGATAAAAATATCAATAGATAAAATCATGGATACATGAGGTCAGCCACCTCCACTATGTAGCTCTTCCAGTGGGCCCCCAAGCCATCTGGCAGAGCCAGGTCTTTAGGCTCTTATGAAACATCACCTAGGGGGTAAAGGTCATACCAGATCAGTAACCTTTGCAGAAATTGAGAAACTAGGTTGATAACACTGCTAAATTAGGGGAAACTGATCTGAATTCCAGGTTATGGAACAAAGAAGAAAAGTAAATCCTTCATGGCCAACCCTCCCATCAGGCAGAGAGGAAACGGCAGTATCAACAGCAGCCCTCAGCTGTTGATTCTGGCCTTCAAGAGCCAATTCTTCTTTTGGAGGACACAATTGAGTGTTCCTGTACTGCACTTCTTTAATTAGCATGGTCTTTGAATCTATAAGAGGTGGCTCAGTGGTTAAGATGCTGAGCTTGTTGATCAGAAAGGTTGGCAGTTCGGTGGTTCAAATCCCTAGGGCTGCGTAATGGAGTGAGCTCCTGTTACTTGTCCCAGTTCTGCCAACCTAGCAGTTCGAAAGCATGTAAAAATGCAAGTAGTAAAAATAGGGACCACCTTTGGTGGGAAGGTAACAGTGTTCCATGCGCCTTTGGCATTTAGTCATGCTGGCCACATGACCATGGAGACGTCTTCGGACAGCGCTGGCTTTTTGGCTTTGAAATTGAGATAAGCACCGCCCCCTAGAGTCAGGAACCTTTACCTTTTACCTTGAATCTATGATGCAGGGTGTTAATAAATTAATTGTCCACCTAGATTTTGATGGACTGTAATTTGCATCCTCAACAAATCCAAGTTACCCAGATGATGATGTTTGTACTGAAAATGTGAAAGATTTTGTCCTTCTATTCTATTCTATTCTATTCTATTCTATTCTATTCTATTCTTTTTTTAAGCAGATCCAGAATTGTCTTTTAAAAAATGAAGCCTTTACATTTTACTTATGTATCACCAGCAGAGGGCAGATGGTAGCTGCTGAAAGAGGACTGGTTAAAAATGCTAGTACAAATGCTATTATCATTAGCATGTTGCTTAAATTAACGAACTATTTACAACTCTTGAGGGAGAGATTTGAACAAAATACAACCTGCTCTCCCCTCTTTAAAATTAATTGTGAAATTTTACCTTCGAAGACATTTCAAGGTTTTCTCTCATAAGAAAAGGAAGTAATTCAGAAAGTGTTTAGAAGCATACAGTAATTGATTTAGGTCCTTCAGATGGAAAAATGAAATATCTAGATACATTTCAGATGGATCTCAGGCCTGATTCTAGAACAGAAACTTCCTGGCTGATGAAACAGATGAAATCCAGTTTAGACAGCTGCAACCCCTGCTCTACATAGGACTATCTTTAAAAGAATGCTAAAGCTGCAATTGACCCACAGAATAATGGTTAGACTATTACGGTTTGACATATTACACTGAAGTTTTGACACCTGCCATTGGCTCCACTCCTGCTTCTAGGACCTAATTTAAAATCCCAGTGTTATTTTTTAAAGTCAAAATTATACTAAAACCTAGTATTATAAATATGCCTTCATCCCTGTGGATCTACCTAAAACTTACATTCTTTTTCAGAAATCATATTCTGAGGGCCGCTGGACAATTATATGCAGAGGAAATTTGTGCTGAAACTTATTTCTACTTCGCTGCACAAATCACCACAAAGTAGGCTCAAATAGCAGCTCTTAGCCATGTTTGGTCGAGTTCATTTGTCTTCTGCCAGCGTCTCTTGATCCGCTTCTTCTCTCTCCGTTCCTCCATAAACCATGGGGAATGACAAGATTGACGGATTAAGAGAGGCCAACTGGGCGCAATCCTATCCAGATTAATTCACCCCCTTATGAAAAATAAGTGTTCCATATATATGGTAGGAACTTCACCCTTCTTGGGAATTAAGCAAAACGCTAGGAACTTACTGCTTCTGATTTAGGAGGCACAGGTGGTGGAGGTAGGGAAACATCTGAGGATTTTGCTGTTGCTACTAAAGATCCTGGTGCTGGCAGAGAAGTTGTACCACCCCTGGACCGGAAAGAACTCCTGTAGTTGTCACATTTGTTCTTTTCGCTCTGTGAGCGAGTAAGAGGCTGATCATTCACTTTCCCACCCCCTTTGTCCAACCATAGTTCTTCATATGGAAGTTCCAGTTTAGGAGGTAAACAGACTGTTTCTTCACTAATTTCAGGAAAAAGGTAGTTACAGCTCCCATCCCTAGAATCTTGCAAAGCATCATGAGAAGATAAAGCCCACTCGTTACACAAGTCTCTGCAATCATGAAGGTTCACCTCGCTATTTCCATGGAGGTTGTTTCCATAGACACATACAGAGAGACGGTGGAAAGACTGGGTCAACTCATCCCGAGCATAACTGAGAGAGTTTGGCACATGGTTGTGGCTGGTGGGTCGACTTTTTTGTGGGCTTTTGCAGTCTTCATTCCAGTCCGCTTTTACATCTCTCACAGCACGAGAATATTCATCAATATCGAACTGCTCTTGGCAGAGGCTGAACCAGTGCTTCACAAAGGCTTCATGCCACGCTTCTCCTTTCACAAGACTTTCTGGAAGGGTAAACTTTGGAAGAGCTAAATGCAAAGGAAAGTGCATTGGAATAATTTTATTACTATGTAGTGCGCAGCAAACCACAACTGTCTTGGTTTGAATATTAACAAACTTGTAACGGTGTCCTTCACGGACAAAATGCAAGTCATAAGGATTCCGTGGGGGAGGGCTTGGCACATTCACATTCACTGGGAGCCGTGTCTTTTCCACGATGTTTCGAATGGTATGCTCCCCTTCTTGCATTTGTAGCTCCAAGGGACTACGTGTGCTAAATCTCCCTTTACACTGGAAAGGCAGGCTAATACTCTCATTGGTCCGATGGTTCATGCAAATCAAGCAAGGCATTTTGCCTTTGCCCAATTTGCTAATGGAATTGAGTTTTCCAATTTTCTTGAAGATGGTATTGAGCCGTGACTTTTCCTTTGAAGATTTTGCATATAGGATTTCTGCTTGTCCCATTAATGTGAGCTCATCGCCTGTGCAAAGGGTAATATTATAAACTTCTGTGTCTTCATTGCATTCACCTGAAGCCACCTAGAAAATACAACATTCAAAATTAAAATAGCATATCAAGCTCTAAACATAGGGGATGAACCCAACAAATATGAACATCAGAATTGTCCAACTTCTTCTGCCTGGCATTCTATGTTAGACTATAACACCTATACATTCAGTGCATGAATAAATATCAAATGAGAAAGACTGCTCTAAAATATCCACATGACTGATCACACTACCTTCTTTTGTTAAAGAGTTTATAAAGAGTAACATAATATTAAGAATTTATCAGACAAAAATAAGTTATCTCTCTCTGTCACAATGTTTAAATTATATAGGAACCTACAACCTTATACAATTAGGCTTGCTCATGAGCACTTAGGTATTGTTATATATACTTTGCTATTCTACTATAGTTTAATGCTATATTTGACTACCTGTAATTTGTAGCAGTATAGTTATTCCTTCCCTCCTTTCACTCTCTCTTCTATATTCAAAAATAAAAGAAAGCATGAATGTGAATATCTAGAAATTTGAAATCTCTCTCTCTCTCTCTCTCTCTCTCTCTCTCTCTCTCTCTCTCTCTCTCTCTCTCTGAAGTATGAATTTTACGTGATCAAAAGTAAATAATGCCTAGTACTCAAATTAGATTGCCTAATCTATATTATCACAATTCATACTTGCAACTAAGAATAAAAATTAAGATTTTTCTTTTTGATCTGCAATGTTAATAAAAAAAAGTTAGCAAATGCTTAAATTTAATCTGTGAAGTAAGGACATGCCATAATTCTGCAGATACATGTACCAGCTTTTAAAAACAGATATTTTACCACATATACATTTCTGTAACTGAGTTATGTATAACCTAAGATTCCAAACTAAAGATCAGCCTGAGAAAGAACAACCTCTTCCAGTCACACTGGAAATTGCACAAAGGGAATGCAAAAGTGGAACAAATCTAACAGGCATGCCCAGGCACCTTCAATATTCACATATACACCATATGTAATGGCAATTCCTTTGACAAAATCTAAGAAGGTCTACAGCCTTTTGATTATGACTTTAGGACACTGAAAGCAGCATTATATATCCCTTGTCTTTTGAAAAATAATTTCTGAATCTTAACATTCACTGGATGTGTGTGTGTGTGTGTGTGTGTGTTTGTGTGGCATGAAAGACATAGAATGCAGTAGTAAAGTTGTACAGAAAGAACACAATAGTGTGATACTCATACGTGGAGATGTATGGTCAATTTTGTAAGGTATAAGAAATTCATGAAGGTGCGAACCCTATTCAAAATTTTCCAGTATCAGCAGGTAGAATTAAAACTGACCTATATAGCGACTTAGTAGACAAAATAAAGAAACATATAATGGAATTCTATTCATAAATTTATTCGGAAGAAAGACCCACTGGGATTTTATACCAGACAAATGTTTTAACACCAGAAGTGGGTTGCTGCCGATTTGGCCCGGTTTGGTCAAACCGTTAGTGGAATTCCGGCCTGGATCACAGAACCGGCAGCAACCCAGGCCTGCCACACCCCTGAAGTGGTTTTCCCGCTGCCGCTAGGCCATCGCCCATTTTGGTGACTGTGCATACACAGTTCATTGTAAATGGTTCTGAGCATGCGCACAGAACAATTTACATTGAAGAGCACACGTGTACACAGAACACATCTGGCATGCGTGCGCATGTTGCGCATGGGTTGCAATCCAGCAGTAATGCCAGCAGCAACTCACCCCTGTTTAACACTGTTACCTTAATTTATTATTTTATTTTTTTGTATAAAAATATGAAATCACAAAAAGTAATCAGTAATATGTTTAGCAAAGGATCCACCATAATATGAATGTTGGAAAGGAAATAATGTTTCAAACCAAACTCTTTGTTATGCAGAGCTTATCAAGCTAATGCCACAGTTGCAGAATTTCCTGAGAGGAAGTTATTCCAGTGGTGTGATATCTCAATACAGCTAATCCAGGAAACAATAAAAATCTAATTGAACATGACTGTTGTTCAAAATTCAGACCCAAAGGCAAAACATTATAATTCATCATGAATATTAACAGCCATCAGATTTCCTATCAATTAAGATCCGAGTCCTCAGCTCTATACTCTTCACTGCCCACATTGAAGATTTTTACTCTGATGTCACTTCTTCAAGAACCTTCTGCATATCATATGGGGCACCCTATGTATATCATCATCACTATCGAAGAGCAAATATGTATATTTTATTTTATAAAACGTTGTTTAATGCTTCCCTGCAAAATGTTACATTATTTTTTTAAAAACCAGTGAAATTATCTATTTGTAATTTTGATGAAAATAAGTGATAAGAACTTTCCTGAAAAGGAGGCAGATCACTTTAATAATTAAAAGCAAACAGCATTTCTTGGTGTGTATGATCCACACAAAACTCTTGCCCCCCAAATAATACTTTTCTTGCAATATTAGACAGCTTCTAAAAATGGTTAGTAAAATAGTTTAATAATGAACTAAGATTGTGGCCCCTTGCTGTTTTGGAAGTTTGTGGCAATAAAATAATAGTTTGGTTAATTGAAGGTATTTGCCTCTAGGGACTTAAAATTTAAGTTAACTATTATATGAGCTTGCATTTGCTTTAACTGGAGCAGAAATTTGTTGAAGAATTATCTTCTGAAGTAGAATATTGAAATATCTTCTTAGGCCCTTTTGGCCACAATGCCATTGTATAACTTGTGTTCTCTTCCTTTCATTAAAAGGAAGCATAATGGATTTTCTCATTAACTCAAATGATGCTATAATATTATTCAAGTACATAATTCCTGCTGTCTAACTTCTAATTTAGACATTTATAGAAAAGCAAGTATGAAAAGACTGTGACTCTCCAGGTATTACTGGACTACACCTAGGAATGTAAAACACTTTGTCTGTGAGTGGATTTGAGAATTAACTCAAAGAAGATCCACAACAAGTCAAACATGAGTCACACATGGATTCAAACTAACATTAATCTTTCAAGAAAACAAATACTGAACAGAGAAGTAGGGGAATTATACTTTCTTTTTGAAATGTACAAGGTAATTTTGAGATATCTTTCATCATCTGTACTTAAAGCAGTGCCAAATTCTTTGTGGAGAGGCCTCTCTCATATTCCAGATCCTATCCCAACTACTTCTGCCCCTTAGAACAGTTTGATAAGTCTGCTTTAAATGTGGTATCTTCTTTCTATGAGTAGTTTTTTTCGCCTATGCTGCTTCATCTGCTTCTTTATCTTTTTTCAAATGCCCTCAACTTCCCACAGGTAAGAAAGATCTCAGTATATTTTATATGGCATCCAAGTATCATCCATGAAATTCATGACACTTGAAACCTTGATTCTCTCATCAGTTGACTTCTTTTTCATGTAGCTAATGTCCTAACATTCTCTATAGGTAATTCTAAATATTATCTTCCTGCAAGGGACTTGCTATCTTGCCAGATCTAATGTTACTTTCATTTATATCCTTTGCTCTTTTGATTCTTAGTCAGTCATATTTAAGCAAACATTTTTAGAATCACTGCATCTGTTCAAAAAGGAGTAATATGCTACCTAAAGAAGGTTAACTCTCTGTTTCTTCTGCTTCCAAAGCCATCAGTGATTCTCAGGATCACTTAGTGTGTTCAGTTGGGCACATTCTTTTGGTGTTACATTGTACTATTTGCCTTTCTTCAGCTATTTCATTTCTTCCTCTTTTAGTTTTTGGTCTGTGTGTACTTAATCTTAATGATATCATGATTTCAGGTCAGAGTTCTTCAGGCATTCTATTTATCAAATTAATCATTTTATTTATTTTGTAAAGATTTTAAAATAATTTTGGAATAAATGATTGAATATTCAAGTTAACAGATTTGCTAGTGTTCCAGAAAGTAGATTGGAATCTACTGTTAGACTATTGGGCTATTTTTAGTACAATGGTGAAGGATTTCAGACTCCCAACTGCTTAATAACAGAAATGATAAAATAGCTCGTTTGCCATCTCAAACTATGCAGCAGAACAAAAGGAAGTCTAGGGAACCAGGGATGAATTTTTATATGCATGAATAATGAGCTCCATTCAATGAAATACTGTATTCAGAACAAATTGTTAGGCTCCTAGGTTTTTCATTCTAAGTGTAATTGTTGTACTGATCCTAGTTGGTGGAACTTTAGAGTCTAGTAAGAAGATAAATAAACCTCACAAGCTTGAAGCAATCTCACAACTGCATCCTGGTCTATATAACTTCCTGGAAAGCATATCCAAATATGAAAAACCCATTATCCCTTAATTAGAAACTCTATTGTTTTTAAGCAGTAGAAACTGAACTGGAGCTTTCAAACAAAGCCTTCTTTTACTAACCAAGTTGGAGAGCATGGAGGTTTCATTTAGTATTGTATGTGTACATTTGCTATCCTCATCTACTGAACCAAAGAAAGGTTTTCTGCAATTCACAGGAGACTCAAACCAAGAGAAGGCAGGCAAACATATGGCTATGCTGATATGAAGCTTAATTGATAGGGTCAAAAATGTTCAGAAAGAGTAAAAAAAGTAGTTCATTCAGTGCTGCAGTTCAGCGAAATCATGTTACTTTTATGTTTTAATCTATGCAGTCCATGCCATTCCATTCTTCCTAATTTTTTGTGCCATTATTGTTACACAATTAATATTCAATTTGGAAATATTTGTAGCATTAAGTGATTTACTGATTTTATATTCTGTATTAGCCATTCATGCTTATAGCTGGTTAGTCATTTTTTAAGCATTATTTGGTATAACAAATTGGTAGAACCAACAAATTGGTAGAAGTATATACCAATTGCATGTATTTAAATAGCATTGAATTCATAGTTGATTTTGTAACTCCAGTTGTATTTATAATCTTAAAGGTATTGTAATTACATTTTAAAATCTATTCTAGTATCTTAAATTGTAGTTTTTCTTATGCTATGTAGATTTTTAGTATTGAATGTAAATTTTATTGGTCAGTGACCTTAATAATGATAGTACTTCAATAAACACGTCTGGTATATC